ATCGGAATACGGACCGCTTTAATAAACAATTCAATAATCAAAAGTATTTCCGGTAACTTAGACTATACAGACGCAATTAAATATGAAAATACGATCCAGATCTTAATGGATAACGAATAAAAATTAGAAACTAAATCTAACAAATATGTAAGTTTAAATTGGAACTCGCGTAGCTCGAAACTGATAGATAGTATAGTATCAAACCAGGAAAGAATAGGCAATAATTAAGAATAATTATGAAAAGCGACACTGATAGACAAGCAGATTTAATAAAATACGCCCATTTAGCACAGTATTTTCTTATTTTAAGAGATAACATTGAGAACTTATCTAAGGAATTAATAAATCTAGAGAACACTTTATCGTTTATTGGTGCATCGAGCACTATATATTCGTTAGTTAGTTTAATTCAAATTATAAATATTATACATAAGTGAAAAATTTTATATTCAAAAGATGAGATCTTTGAAATAGACTATAGAATTTTTTATAAAATAATTAAGTAGAGCTAAGTAGCTAAGCAAGTTGAGATACTTATAAAGGTCTCGATTGTTATTCCTGTAACCTACGACCTCTATAAATTAGATATTTTCCTAACAGAAATCACGACGTCCTTATCCCCTCCTCACCTTTCGTAGCAAACTCTAGCACGGGCTCTAGGTACATAGAGACATAATGTCCGAGAGTAAAAGCTTTGTATCTCTGTGAATCGAAGCCTCAATACAGTGGTCAAGAAAATCCTGACTGCATTCAATATGTAATTATCAATCAGGAACTCCAATATAACTGTAAACTGACTCAAGTCACTTTGGAGAAAGAAGCTTTCGAAGCACTGGACGATTATCACACCGAATTTGAAAGATCTTCATGCGCTAAGCACTAAAATAGCCCTTGAAGCTCCTACTCGCTTGAAGAAAATCACCGATTCAAGTATATACCACACCACTATTCCAATTTTCCTAATGCTGTTAAGTGTAACATCACTTAGTGCTGCATTTATGTATCGCCGATCCTGAGTAAGACACCTACAAAAAGAGACTCCGAGCAAGACACCTACAAAAAGAAAATCGAGCTATAGAAGCCCCCAATGAATATTAGAGGCGACTCCAGCGCTGAGGCGAATCAACTCTAGTGAAATAAGGGTTTATCATAAGAATATTTCTGCAACCCTCTCGAAAAAGTTTCTCGATTAGTCGCTGATCTACGGGGGGTGATGTTACATAATTAGGTACACATCCTGGAAATCGCCTACACTGTAACCACCCAGCTACGACATTCCATTCTACGTGCTACGTGCCGTCGCCCGTAATCCCACGGATACGAAGTGGTTGCGCAACACACCTGTGTTAGACACCGGGACCGTCCGAAGCATCGCAGCGAGCGTCACTTTTGTCTCTAACATCGAGCAATTGTCACCTCCCTTAGAAATGTAGTTAACTTGTAATTTTTATATAATAAAATAAGTAGTTTTAAGTTTAACTTTGCATTTTTTTGCATCCTGCGGCCGCAACCTTCGTAATTAGTGAATTCCCAATAAGTTTACATTTCAAATGTTTTTGTTACTTTTTGATCAATTTTCATCACTGTTTATGGACTGAGAGTGAGACAGTACTGGGTTGAACAATGTAGAAGTTTCAATATACCATAACAACTTATATGAGGTCATGTAGTGCTATAGTACATTACTTTTAATTCGTCCCCTATCTAGAAACATCTAGTGCAGTTAATAATTACGGCATAAAAAACGTGGTGTTACTTGTAGTAGAAAATTTGTTTTACATTCAGACACCACTTGCTATGACACAATTGTGAATATGGTCCACCACAGTCAAACGATGAGGACGAGGTTTTAGCTGGAAAGTGCTTTTTGGTAATTTATCATTATATCTTATGTATCGTGGTCTGCGCCATTTGCGACGGAACGAACCTAGCGGTAGGGGTCTGTACGTGACGGCACCTAGGCGGAGTCGAAGTAGCGACGCGATGCCGCCTTCAGGAATCGAGCGATGGCTGGCAGCTCTATTAATCTACGTGTAAATCGATGTTCCGTATGAACTACGGCCCTCCCATAGCTCTGCGCAAAAATCGATTCTAGATGACCTGAAGCCGGTGTATTTGCCTCGGGGCAAAGTGCGCGAAGACCTGACTCGCATACGTTATGATAGGGCGAACTACAGCTTTATATAAAGTCACCTTATTCCGAAGAGACATTTTTGAAGTTTTATTTAAAAGGGGATACAGGCGAGTATGTAAGACGCCCGGTTTTTGTCCCGAGTCATGTGCTGGCTGAATTTGAGCTTAGAGTCAAAGACGACACCTAAGTATTTCACTTTATTTACCCATGGAACCGGACTAGGCTTCGCATCCCAGGCCACATCCTTCTACATACTGCTTTAATATTGGTTATTGGTCAACAAGTATATAGAGATTATACATAGAAAACCCACTTCGTTGTTAAGTTTCCTTTGCTGTGTTTTTATTTTTAGGATGGTCTTCCTACTTGTATGGAATAAAGGAGGCAAGGCTGATAAATTCCTTCTGTTATGTTTTATCTGTACTTACAGGTAGTTGTGGTAAAGACATATTTATATGTTAATCTAAAGGTATGTAACTTAGGTTAATAGTAATCTAATTAATATAAAAATTGTTTAAGTACTGGGAGTTCTCTCTTTAACTTATGTAACTTAGAATACAGTTTAAATTATAGTTTACCTTTCTCTTTAACTTACATAACAGATTAGGGTTATATGTATTGAATTAATAAACTCTGAGACTGTATGAGAAGTGTACTTTTGTTTCTATTAAGCTAATCCCATACAGTTAGCATTATTCTGTCTTGCACGGGTTGGCTGGTATATATATTTATTGTAAATTCTATCGTCCCCGTGATTAGATCACCAAGCCTCACCCTGTGGTCTCAATAAATCTGATTGAGTTAATCTGAATGAGTTGGAAAATATTACTCTAATAAATAGACTCCAAAAAAATTTTTTAGAGCTCAGGTAGGTTAGGTTATATAGGTTAGATTTTGAAGATTTGATTATATTAGATTTATAAATAAATAAATATTTGCGGTCACATTTTTACACAACATTCTCTAGTCCCAAACTAAGCAACGCTTATACTATGAGTACTAGAAAATTGATAAAAATGCTTAAATATAATTTTCTTTTGTAAATAAATAAATATTAAAGACACTTTATGATATTAACATATATGTATAATATATGTTAATATCATAAAATGTCTGGATGTTTACCCAGAAACTAGAAACACAATGTGACCTTTCGCGCGCTCACATTAAGCGTTTTACTATGTCATTCATTATGGGTAGGTACAACAAATAGAATGCAATGGAACCCTTTGCGTCGGCGTCTGTCTTTCTTTCCGAATATAACATGGTTGACGGAAAAATGGTGTAGATAAAATACGTTGAGAATTTCGTTAGTGTGGCAATCAGCCGTTTAGGTTAATGGTTAAAGCGTCTGGGTGCGAATCTGGAAGACGTATGATTAAATCCCGCAGCGGTGAGAAAAAAATCATTACTTCTTCTTCAAATTTTATGGTTCCAAAGGCTTATTAACTTTGCTCTACGAGGCCTTCATGCTGCAGTCTGCGAGCACACTTTAAATCGCTCCAACCACGACTTCAGTTTTGACAGACCACAGACATTTGCAAAGAAAACAACGGTTCCTCTTTTCATGCATTCATTAAATATCTTTATTTCAATTTGGTTTCGGTTGTTTTTCTTGGCGCAAGTTGTTAATCATCTTTATGTATCTTGTTGTCTGTTTTAATCATCGAATTTACTTACGTATAGTCAAGCTTCAACTTACCTCCATAAATAATAGAGAGATTAGTAAAAATATTTAATGTCAACGTGTGTTAATAATTTACAAAGCGAACATTTAATAAAAAACCTTTAGATTTATTTAGGAAAAAGTACGATAAAACGAGAGATCCGTGATAGCTCAGCGTCTGGGCGTTCGCTTTTAATTCAATTTTCTCGAGCAACCCGAATGAGATCACCGGTGGGGGCACAAATAAAATTGTTAATTTTAAATGCTGACTTATCACGTGCTCGGCGGTGAAGTAAAACATCATGAGGAAAGCTGTACATTTTCTAAATAATAATGATAAAATATATTTCGCAAATATGTGAAGTCCGCCAATCCGCAGTGTTGGACTATACCCTGATACCCTCTTTGCAGAGGAGGCCTTTGCCCAGTGGGACATTTATAGGCTGTTCCTTAAAGATAAGACGAGAATTGTTTTTTTTAAATAATCTAACGATGATGAGTGTTGTTAGTTGATATATGTCGTCTTTGGAGCGTATTGGATCTATTGGATGGATTTTAGAAGAAAAGGTACCATTACTGTGCTTAACTGTGGTAGGGCCACGCAACAGCCTTCGGTGTTGCAGGAATGGGCAGGTCCGGGGAAGTAACACCACATCATAGAAGACTGGGGTAAAATGGAAGTGTTATACGTCTGCGTTTCTACTCGTGAATGAATCGGGGTCCACTTTGTTAAAAGGTTGAAACGCACCTGCAACCCTATGGGTGCTGCAGGTGTCCATGGGCGGCGGTTATCACTTACTATCAGCTGAACCACCAGCTCGCTTGCCACCCTCTCACATAAAAAAGGATCTAAGGCTTTAGATATTTTTTAGTCACGAAAAATGCTAAAAAGATAGTATTTAACAGATGAACAAACAAGAACATTTTATAGCTCGTTAGCACGTTAATAAATCATACAAACAAATTTTCACAAGTGCAATTCAAGGTCTTTATTAAGATTTACACGCAACACAGTAAAGCTTGTGCAATTTAAAAAAATAACTGCAATAGGGAAACAAGGTTTCTGTAGAAACTGTTATACTTTAGAAACTTATAATTTCCTAAACAACATTGATAGTAGAAGTAAACGTTGTCATCTGTCGGTACGAACTCAATATTATATTGTTGTACTATTAGGGATAAAATTAAATTATGATCTCAATAATACTGATTGCATTCATCAACGACACGATACTGAATAATGATCGTTATATAAGTGATCATACCGGCGAACATCTGTAAAAGAAAATAACTTATTATAAATCCTCTTGGTGTTAAATTCTATTTCTTCAATAATAATTTTATTTCCTCAAATTGTTTAAATGGGGAGCATTCGATAAAATAATGTTATTACCGCAGCAATTTGGGACCTGTGAAGTGTGTAGAAACTGAGCGGTGAAAATGTAGGCTTGTATAAAACAAGCTGCTTATAAAAAATGTCCACCTCACTCGGGATTGGTTGACCGAGTTTTGTCAATCGGTACATAACTTTGTTTAGTAGATATGGAGTCTTGCTCATCTGGATGAAAATATTGAAAAAATAATAATTAGCCGTTTGTGTATGTTTCATAATATTTTCAAAAGGCACAAATACAATAATGTGAAATATATCTTAAAATGAATTAGAACGCAAGGTAAATGGTAAAATACGAAAAATAAAGGGAAAGCGACATAAGGCCTTGATTGAGATGTTATGAGCAATGCTCCATAAATTTATAGTGCTGTGTTGATTCCAATATTAATTAATACAGCTGAAAATTTTGTATATATTAATAAGCTAAAGCTTGATAACAAAATTGATGACCTTCTACAGCGGTCATTAAAAATTACACTACGTATGAGACCCGAAAAAACAGATTACAAAATTTTTAATGTAAAGTGTAAATGCGGAAGTCAATGGAAAAATAATGTCTTATCTTTTTATTTTTTAAACATTGGCGATATACAAGGTTTTCACAACAGGTGGGTCTAAAAATGAATCTGGACAAGACTAAAGTCATGTCCAATGCCCATGTAGTGCCCACCCCAGTTTTTGTAGAGAGCTCGACCCTCGAAATTGTTGACGAATATGTATATCTAGGACAAGTTGTGCAGCTAGGTAGGTCCAATTTCGAGAGAGAGGTTACTCGACGGATCCAACTCGGTTGGGCAGCGTTCGGTAAGCTACGCAGCGTCCTAACATCCAGATTACCACAGAGTCTGAAGACGAAAGTCTTTGACCAATGCGTACTGCCAGTGATGACCTACGGTGCCGAGACGTGGTCTTTAACTATGGGCCTCCTAAAGAGACTCAGTGTTGCTCAGCGGGCAATGGAGAGGGCTATGCTCGGGGTTTCTCTGCGAGATCGAACCAGGAATGAGGAGATCCGCAGAAGAACGAAGGTCACCGACATAGCCAAGCGGGTCTGCAAGCTGAAGTGGCAATGGGCAGGGCACATAGCTCGCAGAACTGACGGCCGATGGGGCAGCAAAGTTCTCGAGTGGAGACCGCGTGTTGGAAAACGCAGTGTGGGGCGGCCACCCGCGAGATGGACTGACGACCTGTCCAAAGTCGCGGGACTTCGTTGGATGCAGGCCGCTTCAAACAGATCGAAGTGGAAATCCCTAGAGGAGGCCTATGTTCAGCAGTGGACGCCTACAGGCTGAAATGATGATGATGATGATGATGATATATTCTGAGAAAACATGCAAAAATACCCACGATCCGCGTGCACATACGAGTATGTATGTGGGGGAGACAAAATATGTGAATCAATGTTGAAAATGTGTTAATTATGGCAGCCCGTTCCATGAGTGAGCTATTATGTTTGTAAGCACTTGGTAAGCTGACGATGACGCTTACAAAAATACCATACCTCTTCATGGGTGCGGTGGCAGGATTCAACCAGGATGAATATCTTTGTGAAACGGAACGAACACCACATTAATTGCAGACAAACATAGAATAGATTCCTGTGCAGGATATCTGCAAAAAATAAATTTGGGTACACAATGTAAGAATATATTGAGGACTTATGAGAAAGATATTATAATTAACTAAAATAAAGGTAAGTATTTTAGTATCTAGAACTGGCGTGACGAAGAAATTACTACGTAATAAATGTTCCTCTTATACTAGGCAAAATTATAAAGCTGTTATTACATTAATGGTAGGTATATTATTTTTATCTTTATTGCTCGGGTTATCAGGTGGATAGGGCTAGAGTTCCACTATTGTAGGTCGATAATTGACTGTACGTACAACTAGGCAACGTCGATATGCACAGCGATTGCAGACTCCAGACGATTCACGAATATTTTAAAGACCTGACCAAACGGTTGTTCGATAGAGCCGAACATCATCACAACCCTCTGGTGGTAAGCGCAGCATATTAACAACCGGACACAAACGCGAACGTCAACAAGCGTCCGCCGCGAAACTTCCTCATCGACCCGGTCGAGGAAGAGGACTTAGATACGTCGGACCCACCGTTGGTGGTCCTGCCGGACAACACTTCACCCACAGCTAGTATAACAATAAACACAATAGTTCGCCCTCGCCTCCGAGCACGGCGAGACCAACAGAACGCGTACACAAGGTACACCCGCGTTCCAGGGCGGTTCTCACCGCCCCCAGCCACCGATTAGCTAAAAACACAGTCGATGGTCATCGGGGTCTCGGTCCGAACCGCAATCTCGATGGCCCTTAGATGACATACCGTTGTTAAACGCGCGGCCCTACCCACAGCGGAGGGCCCAAACCCGTGGGTTCTGGCTAGCCCACCGGTTCTGCGTCAGATGAAGCTTTAATAGTCTCGGGACTGAAAGCAAAAACCAGTTAATACAAGATACAAAACGTACAACGTATTTTTTTTTATTAAACATAGTGATAGGAGTTAGTAGTTAATGTAACTTGTTACTTTTCTTTACTTACCTGGTAAACAGTAAATCATTACCAAGTAATAACTCGATACAATTAAATACATTGTGAAAGCTCCCAGCATTATGAACATCATGCGTCCGTTGTCAACATTACAAGTTTTAACGTCATTGCATAGCGAATTGTAAGAGACCGCCAGTGCACGAATATATTTCCCAACTGGAATTACATATTGTACATATAAATAATTTAACAAGTATGCTCTACACTATTTAAGACGCGTCTTTGAAATAAGTATCGTTCAAAATGAATATCATTTTATCATCATATTACATACATGCTCAATGTAGTTCTAATCTATCGTTTAACGAAAGCCTGTTTGTTATAGGATACTGCATACAAGCATATATAGCAGTTCCACCGAAATGAGATTTAGCAATAATTATTAACATGTTCGCCTCACTAATAACAATAATAGCACTAATAACAACCAGTTCGGTAATTTATTTAATTAAAACATTTAATCTTCACCTGTTAAGTTATCCAGCGACCTTGATGCGTTTTTGTTTTTGTCTTGGTCCGAGTCGATGATGCCTATAAAATTGGAACTAGGTATCAAGACCAACTGAAATTTAGCTGTAAAATTATGTAAACGTTAGAATTTGATAGTATCGTTAAGGTGGCATCGATATGGCAAAATTGAAGTTTTAAAGTTTCATGTAAATAAAATTCTATCACGTAAAATTCAGTACGTCATATTTATATAATTAACAGCGACCCGCGCCAGCTTCGCATGGATGCAATGTATTACACAAATAAACCTTCCTCTTGAATCACTCAATCTAGTAAATACACAGGGACAGACAGACAGCAGGACGACTTTGTTTTATACTATGTAGTGACTAGCTGACGTTTTTCCGCCATATAAATTATGTATAGAGAATATTTTGGTTGTTAAATAAAAATAACGAATGTATTGTGTGTGGGATTAAGATCTAACACAGAAAGAGGAATGGAGCGCTGTAGACGATGACCGCTGATAAAAACAAAAAAACATCAAGCATTAATTTTCTCAATTCAATGTATTTTTTTCTTTTTTATTTGCGTCTCGCCAGCACTTGACTGCCAGCCCACTTGATGGTAAGTGGTGATGCAGCCTTTGATGGTAAGCGCGCTAGCTCAGTAAAAACCTATTCACTCTTGCCTTGAAGACGCCTACGTTGTAATCGGACGGAAAGACGGACGCCGGCAGGTTCTTCCATTCCTTAGCTGTACGGATGATAAATGATGAAGCAAATCGTTTGGTTCTTGTTCTGGGAACGTCGACAGCATAAGAGTGGAGTCTCGTCGAACGCCTAGTTGTCCGATGATGGAAAGGGGCAGGAGGAATCAAATCATGCAACTGCATTTCGTTAACGTAAAGTACGTCACTCAGATAGTTTTGCGAAAAAAAGTTTTTGCGTACGAGTCCCTGGCGTCAGCAATTTGCAACACGTCTGTCCGTGTGTCACCACCGATTTTCCCGGGAATGGGCGGAACTAGCAAGTTAAATTTTATACCAAATACTGGGGGGTCTTTTAGGGTCTTTCAGGGCAGGGGAGGAAGGGCGAGCACCTTGCGTTCCAGGGTATCGACTGTGTCACGTTTCTCGGCCTCCAGAAGTACGTGCGCGCGGTGGTGGTGTGGGTTTTTACTTGAGACAGGGCTTATCATCACGAATTATTCAGCATCCAAGTGGTCCCACGGTGGAGCAAATGTGGTTAAATATTAAAATTAACGGTAAGTCCCTTATCTTCGGTACATTGCATGTCATTGTTTTTGGACCCGCTGAGCGAGTCCTTAGGTTCTTTTGTAGACTACTATCAAACAGTACAGCTTTGAGATTTCGATATTGACATTTTAAATAATAATTTTGTCAGTACCAAAATGCTTTCAGACTTCCTAATGTGTCATAATCTTGAGCAATATGTTGAGAAACCTACACATTTTACAGAACACAGCGAAACACTCTTGGATATTGAATGTACAGAAATTAAAAAATGTAATGTATGTATAGGAAATCAGTGTCGGGAACAGAACGAATTTTAGTTTCTGTATCTCGACTTTCACTGAGTTCCGTCCGTTTCACGGTCTTACGCTGCTACACAGACCTTCACTAATTTTTTTCTCTCTTTAATCTTCACTCGTTTTTTATGTATTTATTTATTTATTTATACTTTATTGTACACCAAAAATAAAAATATATAAAAAGCAAATTACAAATGAATATAAAAGGAAGTACTATAGGCGGTCTTATCGCTCAGAAAGCGATTTCTTCCAGACAACCATTGTGAAAAGAATATTTGCTAATGAGACATAAAGAAGAGAGCAGAGGGAGATGTACATGAATCACTTATGAACATCGGATGAAGGCATTTATACGTCAATGAGATAGTCAAAGATTTCGGGAAAAATAGGAAAGGAAAAAGGAAAGCGTGAATTCACAGTTCCAAGTAATGAGCTTTTAATAGGTTTTTAAAAGAAAGAAGTGACTTAGCTTGTCGAATGTGACGGGGCAAAGAATTCCACAAAGAAGGAAGAGGAATGTACAGGAGTTTGGAGGGAGAGATTGGCAGAAGAACGAAGGGACCTTTCATGGGATAAGGAAAGATACTCGAAGCGATTTTTTAAGTATTTCGGAGTAGTCAAGTTTATTAAGCTGTACTTCGGTAATGTCAAGACAGCAAATATCAGCATAGTCAAGGATGGGCAGAAGTAGTGAATGAGCGAGCGCAACTTTAGTATCAGTAGGAAGAAAATTACGCAGTCTTCGTAAGGAGCCTATAGCAGAGAACATTTTCTTACTAGTCTCATTTATCTGTGGAGTCCATGTCAGACAGGCGTCCATAAATATTCCCAGATTCTTCACCATTTTACTGTACGGGATGTGATTACCGTTAAGAATAATTGAGGGTAAAGAAGACCAGTCGATTTTAGCGGCCAACCTAGAAATATCGTTTTTTTGTTATGTTTACACTTAGTACGTGGAGGACCGAGCTTTGCTCGGTTTTTTTTTTGGTTAATCGTGTATTTTGGAAATAAAAAAAATAAAGAAAGCAATGATCTGGTATAGAAAAAAGTAAAAAAGAAGTGTGTAAACGATCGTGACACGAACCGCGGCCTTCTGTTTCGGGGCCGCCCTATTACCGACCGAGCTATTATAACATTTTTTTGTGACAACACGGCGAAATTTACCGTCATATTCGAATGAATATTTTTCATTCCCTGAAAACAGAGATAAAAGGACATTTTATAAAAATGAAACCTAGCTAGATCGATTTTTCGCCCCCGAATCTACGCACGTACTAAATTTCATGAAAATCGCTGAAGCCGTTTCCGAGATTCCGGTTATATATATATACAAGAATTGCTCGTTTAAAGGTATTAGATTTTAAATTTTTCAAATATTATTTTTTATACTGGTCTAGTTACATTATTTTTTAAGTTTTGTATCCATTGTGCTTAGACAGTGAATAAACGTTTCTTTATCTTCTTCTTCAAACGAATGACTTTCAATCAATCAATAAGGTTGACATTTTCGTGTTATGTTTTGTCTATATATGTATATGTACCTATATGTACATTCTCACTTACTCACTTTTCATGGTATAACATTTTATAAACTTTATAATAAATAATGGACATGTTGTACTGACCCCACGTATAGTTGGATAAGGGCTTTCCCGTACAATTTTTAAAATTTTCTTTTATACAAACTTCGTCTTGACATTAACGAACGCAAAAACAACTAGCCAATTTGGTGGGGTTGTTCGAAAGTTAAGCGCGTAAATACGTTTCTTATCAAGTACATAAAAAGCATATTGAATGAGGGTCTGGCAAATATTGATTTCTTGTGTTTAAGTGAGTACGAGACACAACATAATTATCAATAAAATACCTAAAATAGTTTCAATTAACTATGTTTTACAAATAGCTGAAAATGTTAAATTGTCTCTGATTTCATGGTCCAATATGATGGTGCATTAAGTATCGGCTGATCAATGAAAAGGACTTGTCAAAAACAGTGCAAAATTTACGCCTTCATGCAGGCATTATCAATTTTAAGGGTTAAAAAAGAATAGATAAATGCAAATTCTCTAACTTACGAGTGTCAATTAGTTCTTGCAGAGCGTCATTTATTGTCTTGAAACCGGACTGAATAGAACCTATAGCGAAGACAATTTGCAAAACAAGAAGCAAGGCAACAACGTACTCGCTATAGTGCACTCCCATCGTGTACACTATGGCCACTGCAACAGACAAGCTTCAATCGTCATCATCATTCAGTCTGTTCTAGTCCACAGCTGAACATAGGGCTCTCCCACAAACTGCCAGGTGCGATACTGAGCCACCTATACCCATCGACTCTCTGTACCATTGCACAGGTCGTCTCCACCACTCCATATTGTAGTTGGATCATATTTATTTATTTATTATTCAATTTTCTAATTTTTATCACACAGTAGACACAAGCATTTTTGAGTTTACTGTGTGAATACTCCATATACGTACTCTCTTTCTTGAGTGCGCGGGATCCGAGGTAGTACGCTGAGAAATCCATAGCCATCAATAAATTTGACGCTATAAAAATTACAATCACTCCGACCGCAGTAAGCTTTTCGTTCGAACGTTCTTTGCGATTACGCTGCATGCATTCTTGCACCTGTAATGTTAATTGAACCTCAAATGTGTAATTAAAATAAAAGTTAATTATTTCAACATACTATGTTTGCTCATTTTGTCTTTCGGTATTCATGAGATTATAACGTCTTTCATATTTATGATGGAATCTTTTAAATGAGATTATTAAATGATACGGTTAATAGTCACAAATATTTTTTTTTCTAAGCACGTGAATAGGGCACCAAAAACCTGTATTTACTGTATAGGAATCCCTCTAGCGCCGAACAGCATCTAGTACCGGACAAAACACGTCGAAATATGAAATAATGGTCATAGTAAAATTCGTATAATCGAAAACGGCAAACTCAACGGGAACGTCCCTCGAGGCGTCAGTTTCGTTCTATATATCCTACTGGATACATGTTAGTCATTTTGCGCAGGAATTCGTTGCATCGAGAAATATTCAGAAATTCATAGATTAATTATTTTGCAGATTTAATAATAAACTTTATATTAATCGTAACTAATGTCCTATCGTTCTATATAATATCGTAACGCTTCTATTTTCCTTTTCAGATAGTTTCATATAATAGAGACGAAAAAAAATATATCTGGGATTGGGAGAAGGCAATCGTAAATTTAAATAGACAAATGACAAAACAAATATTAACAAAAAAACGAAACTAAACCTATAGAAAAGAGGCTGGAAAAGTATTAATGTCGTCTGTGGCGAATACTGCGACGAGGACTGGGTACAGTGTGGACACTGAAAAGGATAGGCTCACGAATTTTTTTAATTTTTTTGAGATTGTTATTATTACTTATTATTCTCTAATTATGCAACGTTATGTTTAAATGAAGAATCATTTTCCTAAAAAACTATTTCAAATTTTCTTAGTTAACTTAAACCGTACCATACCATGACCGTGATATGAACATATCATGATCGGAAAGCAACATCAAGCCTCTATGCATCTATACCCACCAGAGCGTATCAATTGCGTATCTTACCTTATACACGTAATTGTGATACCCGGATACAAATTCTCTTTACTCTGATGAACCACTAACAATCCCATATCAGGTGGTTAATTAAAATAATTGGTGGATTAATGCTTTGTTCTTTAGGCAAAGTTAGGACAAAGACCACAATAAACAGGCTTTCATACGTGCCTTCATAGTGTTGTTCAAAAGTTTCATCGTGCGTTCCATTCCGGCGCCTGCTTGCCACACTCCGCAAATAACAATTAACAGCCCCATCATAATGTCAATTAACCATACGATAAGCGACGACGTACTCTTAACTTTAACGGCCAAATCTGTTCCAAGATATTGTATGTCGATGTATAAGCCCACAACGGTGACAACATCTACGGAGAGATATACCTATAGTAGATATTTGCGGGTTTTTCTAATATGTGTCATAAACGATAACAATTTTATGAGCTTAGTTAGTACTATGAATTCGGTTAATGCATATTTTGTTTATCACAAAAGTCGTAAGAAAACCTCCACCGTTATGTTGAAATAATAGCAAAAAAAACATTCGAAGATATGGGAAGTTTGCAATTCCGTAGTGCATTTTTTATGTGGACTATTCCTTAATAAGTTGAGACCTTTGCTCATCAATGGGACAATTGCAATTAGTAGCCTCGATGTTTGATGATGGAAAACTGGTTTAGTGGTCCCTCAATTTTTAATTTTTAACGAACGGTACACACATGACTTTTAATAGCTATCAAACCTACCAAGCAGTTGATGTAACTTCTTTGTAAGTGGCAATATAAATTTTTAATATATACCGGTACTTACTTATGACCGCAAAAAGTAACGAACTGTAGAAAATCCAAAGCTTAGAGATGCGAGCAATATAGCCATTACGACAAGGCTCCAATTTCAAAGGGGCAACGCCATAAATGCGTGACAAATGCAGCACTATGGCCATAGTTCCACGCACCTCACTCTCAGTTTGATCTTTTGGCACCATAATGCCCCTACTTTATAGCCGTGCGACCAATGAAAATGTTTTTACCAGACTGCTTCGGCGACCGTGTTTCGCCTCGGTCATTTGAGTCAAATAAATCAGATATGTAGCGTAAAGTGCGATACATTTGTTGCATATTGTGTTATTATAGCCTTTTTTGCTTTACATGCATTACGTTTAATAATAACCCTATACTTTGTATTTTATTATTAAGCTGTAGCTTGCTACCTAAAGGTGCATTATTTAAAATATTCCACTATACGAAATGACTCATTGCCCCGATATTTGTCGCGAGTTGTAATGCGTGTAAATGTGTTTTCTATTTTTAAGGGGCTTCAAAAAGAAGGAGGTTCTATGTTCGACTGTATGTACTCGTATTTTTTTTTATGTATGTTCACCGATATCTCCGCCATTTATGAACCGATTCTCAAAATTCTTTTTTTATATGAAAGAGTATACTCCTGAGGTGGTCCCATTGGGACCAAGTCAGGATCTGATGATGGAATCTCAGGGAAATCGAGGGCAAACCTCAAATTTTATAGGTATTAAAAATGTTTTTCATATATTTTCTAAAGCTATTGAGACATTTGCGTATGATCATCATCATCTCATGACGCTGAGCTGATGAAGGAAGATATAACTCTTTAACAGTTGGAGTTTTAATAGTGATTTCTAATTCTAGAATAATGTATAGAGGTTTATCTTTATAGATAATTGATTTTTCTGGAGAAAAAAGAGTGACTGCTAGAAACTAGAAGTATTAATCCTTTAATTGTCTTTAAGAAGAGAAGGAAAAGGCTATCAATTCGGATGTTTACATGTTTTTTATATATGTTCTAGGGTATATTACCCGTCATATAGTTTGTTTTTTCGAAAGGGTTTTATCCGAAACGGACCCATTTAAATTTCATATACATCTGATGATGAGTTTCGGAGATAGACAACGGAAGTTTTCAAAAAATTACAGCCAGTCAACCGTGATTGCTGCTATTTGATGATTCTTTTTTTCGCAACCTTACAACATAAAGAACGCGAAAACAGCGTATTTACGAAATTAACACGCTGTTTTTTTAACTTTTTAACTTAAAATTTAACAAAATTTAACAAGTTTTGGAGTCTGTGCCATTGTCCACTACATGATTGTATATAAAAAAACAGAAAGAAGCTAAGCAACAATGAACACATTTATACACATATATATTTTAATTATGTCTCTAATCTACCTAAATTGTGACACAAATTTAAGAGAATGATTTCATAATCAGATCAGAGATAATTGGCTTAGCATCGACTCCAAAAATTGGTACATTTTGTTAGAGGTTAGGTAGGTTAGGTGATATAGCTAGATTTTCAAGATTTGATTATATCAGATATAGTATTATTTTAAACTTTTTGAAGTCGGTTCATTTTTTGTTAAAAACTTTTTATCTAACGTGTTTATAGATTTGAATCACAATGGCGTGTATTGACGAAATTTTGATTTTGGAGTCATATTTCAGTTATATTTACAAATACTAGTTGTCGCCCAGTGGTCGTAATTCGACCATAAGTAATTATAGGTGGTAGTGTGTGTGTAATGTTTTTTTTTAATTAATTTAATGTATTTTTATGCATAGTTAAAAAATATTAGCATTCTGCATTCTCTTCATTCAACTCCTTTTCTATATAATCTACAAGCGTGGAAAATTTCATACTCCTCCGTCCACGCAATTTCGTAAAAAGAAATGAATTATAGTTGAGATTTGTTGCGAATAAATCAAGTTTAACGTTACATGATTTCGGAAGGGACTCATTTCTCAAAGTATTTTGAAACTTAACTTAATTACAAGAAGAGTTTTTTTATAATATTAAACCCCGAGCGACGAAAGATAACGTTATTTAATAACGTTATTTTTAAGGGTACTGGGCTTAGGTATTTGTTTTGTACTCAGACAATATGCAATGCATCGATCAGGGATATTATTTTTGGACATCCATAATAAAATTTAGGTCCAGCTTCTACAGAAATTTGTCCGATTTTCACTTTAGTTACACTTAATTAATAATGCACGGGACTATCATAAGGACCGATACTGTGTGTCACGACGAATATCTTCTTGGTATGCCGTTGTAGGACGTGTATGTTCATAGTCACTCCACTACTCATGCCTCGCCGTCAGCTCCAGGATACTTTTTGCTCACTCGTCTGCCGGCATGTGTTGCACGGTAGGTTCCGGTCGCATATTATGACGACGTGCCCGACGCGTGGTTGTGTCCCATTATGATGAGGATGTTGTGGCTACGGGAGGAGAGGAATCTGGTGTTTATATGCTGCATTACTAATTTGTTATAAGCGTCACATGTGTTATCTTCTTCAATGGTCTGAAATAAGAATTTATAGTGTAATGTGCATATCGTTGTGCATGGTGGTTTATGTCAGTGTACTTAAATAATATTTGATAAAGAAGCTTGTTAATACTTACTTTCATTGAAGAAATCCACTCGCAGATCATAGAAATTACTCACTCAAAAACGTTATGGCGACGAAATGTGTCAATGCTATATAGCAATTAATACCAAGCATCTGCAGGGCTGCTTGTGGCATATGAATATACAACATGATGCATGATACAACACAAAACTAGTCACAAGCGGTAGTTATAAATCCATAAAAAATTCCAAAAACGAATGATCGCTGGATGGATAAATGAAAATGGCACGCGTTGAGAACATATTATGACGTTCCGTTTTACGTAATTGAACAAACCGCAGATACTTACCATCCTACATAATTATTGCTTATGAAAATAATAATATAAACTGCACTTGTTGATTTGATGCCTAAGTATTTATAAAATTTAATTACCTAATTACTATTCTGAAAAGCATAGATAATTATAATATTTATTTGAGTACTTAATCATTGTTGTGTAAAATTAAACATCAAGGGGTGCGTTCTGAACATGATAATCTAT